CCGCCCAGGCGGCCCAGGAGGGCCCCGAGTGGCCGCACGATCTGCCCCAGACGCCCAGGACGGCCCGAGGAGCTCTCGAGGAGCCCAGAGGGAGCCCCCAAGAGCCTCTCCGAGCGGCCGACACCATACATGTCAGCGTTTTCACATTCGGCGTTTCGACATTGGGCGGAAGGGAGGGGGGGAGAAAGGGGTGTCTGGCCTCGGACCTCTGCTGAGCGCGGCTGTTTTCAACCGTGCGTCCCATGGGGGGGGGACTCCGCCTGCCTGAGACAGGCGCCCAAAACAGCCAAGCTCTGCTCCACGAGGGGGGGGGGAGGGGGGGGATGCGAGGGCCCGCGCCGATCGGCAAAAGAGCGAATCAGGAAACGATCGTCATGTTTCTCAGGTTCTTGCAACTGCTTTGGGGTCCTCGACTTCTTGAGCGTCCGTCGCTCCAGGACGGGGCCCGCGAGGCCCCCGGCCCCAAGAAGGGGCCCAGGAGGCGGGAGCACGGACCGAACAGATCAGAGCCCTCTGCCCCAGGAGGCGCCCCAAGGAGGCGCCCAAGGACGCCCTCGAGGAGGCCCCCAGGGAGGCCCCCGAGGAGGCCCCCAGGGAGGCGCGCCCAGGAGAGGCGCGCCCAGGAGGCGCGCCCACGAGGCGCGCCCAGGAGGCCCCCCAAGGAGGCCCCCAAGGAGGCCGCCGGGGAGGCCCCTGGGGAGGCCCCAACACTTCGTTGCACGTGGCATCACCTGCTTCCCGAGTCCTGGTGCCTGCAGCCCCAGAAAGGCCCCCAAACGGCCCCCCAGCGGCCTCGACGAGACCCCGAAGACCATCCTGAGCGCCTCGGGCCCACAACCTGGGAACGGTGGCGGGATGGGCCGAAGGCCATTCGATGGCAAGAGGTGCGCGCTCCTGAGGCCACCGTGCATCTTCTGGGGCCACGCCCCCCTGCGACTACGACGCTTTCGCGCTCCTGCCCCCCTCGTTTTTTTTTTTTTTTTTTTTTTTTTTTTTTTTTTTTTTTTTTTTTTTTTTTTTTTTTTGTGTTTTATTTTTTTTTTTTTTTTTTTTTTTTTTTTTTTTTTTTTTTTTTTTTTAAGATATGTATACATAAAAACAATATAATTGCGGCGCCTGAGGGCCCTCTCGAAGTCGCCATCTCGTGCCACTTCTGACGCGCCCGTGCGCGCCCTCGAGGCCGCAGCCCCCCCGCGCGAGTGGCGACACGCGCGTGCCCTCCCCACGGCAGCCGCGCCCCGCAGCTCCCGGGAGGTGCGCGCAGCCAGTCGGCCAGCGCACGGCCCAGACCAGCTGCCCACCATCCCATTAGGCAGCTCACACACGTGACATGCTCCCCCATACCTTCCCATGTTTTCTGGGCTTTAGTCTTCCCCCCCACCTCCCATATTTTCCAATATCTTCTGGGAACCAGCCAGCCGAGTTGTCGGCGGCCAACCGACCTGAAAACCGGCACACCAGCCGACCGAGCGTGACCCTGCCAGCAATCGCAGCAGGGGCCAGCGGCAGATGGCTTGGGCTTAGGCTTAGGCTTGCGAGGGTACGCATTGGGAACGGGATTTGCGATTGCGGTTGCCGAGAAGTCTTGGCGCAATGTTTGGAGTATCGATGTCGAGTATGGTCAAAGCGAAGCCCTTCAGTGGTTTAGAGAATTTGTCCTTCCAATCCTCCCTCTTCCTCTTCGGGGAGGGGCTTATCACTGTTCCCTATCAAATGTTCTCCTCCTCCACCACCCGGCCGGCAACCCACCCGGAACAATACCGACCCCATACGCACCCCTCCCGCCACCCCGGTCGACAAACAATGCAAACACACTCTCTTCCTTCACACTTGGAGCAAGCGCGGCCCGTCTAAGATGCATCCACAATTGCCCCGCCAAATGTCCCAAGAGGGCCCCAAGACGGCCCAAGAAACACCAAAGCCGGCCCCATGTACCTCCAAGACGACCTTAAAGCGCCCCAAGCGGGGCCCACGACTGCTTAGAGAGGGCCCCAAGACGGCCTACGAAGGCCCCAGGAGGCCCCCAAGAGGCCACGACGAGAAGCTCCGAGGAGGTCCCAAGAGGGCCTCAAGATGCCTCCTCGTTTTCCTCCTCCTCCTCCTCCTCCTCCTCTTCCTCCTCCTTCTCGTCTTTGTTCTCCTGCTCCTGCTCCTCCTCCTCCTCCTCCCGCTCCTACTCCTCCTCCTCGCCCTTGTTCTCCTCCTCCTCCTCTTCCACCTCCTTCTCGCCCTTGTTCTCCTCCTCCGCCTTCTGCTCCTGCTCCTGCTCCTCCTCCTCCTCCTCTCTTCTCTTACTCCCGAGGGTGCTTCCCCTGAGGGGTGGGCCGCAACAGCCGAGGGAGCCGATGGAGTCCAACAGCTTGGCCAGACTTCGGCCCAACGTTCGGCTGCATGTGCGCTCCCCAACGGCATGGGGCGGCGGTGATTCGCCGTAGGCGTCTTCGATAATCTAAAACATGCCTCCAAGAGGCCCCACATCCGCCAATGAGGGCCTCAAGTGTCCACGAAGCCTCCTCCTCCCTCTTCTCCTTACTCCTCCTCTCCCTCTCTCTTCCCATGACGATCCTCATTCTGTGGTCTCCTCATCCCTCAGTCCCTATTCTGCACCTCCACCTCCTCCAAATAGAGACCCACAATATCCCCGCTACCGCGCAAAACATATCCACCAACACCTTCCAGTACTATAAAAACGTATTGTCTGTTGCTTTTGTTCCGCGTTCTGCCAAGAGTTTCTTGTGTCTTCTCCCTACAATGCAGTTCCTCCTTGTACTGTTTACTAGCCATACCCGCAGCGCAAACCATTACTAAATTTGGAAAAGGCGCCTCAGCGTCCAGGCCGCTCAAGGTTACCCACTACTCCCATGAACACGCGACCAAGCTGCCTGCGAAAACTTCGACTTCGTCTACAATCTCCCACGAAAGCCAAATGGGCCTAGGACTTCCTCAATGCGGCCATGCGTCGGTCCACGACAACCCAAATAACTCTGGCTGCTCCGTGAACCACCACCCGTCCGGACGTTGCCACAAAACGCCATGTATAAAAATCAATTACCCAGGGTTCTGCCGAATCTTCACCTCGTGAAAAATATTAACAGGCTCATCCAAAACGACTGAACACCAGAAAGGGCGCGTTGTCCACTGCGGAAAGGGATCAACCCCTCCCTCTCCCTCCCGCCCAGGGGTCTGGAACGTGCAAGCCCTCTCGTCTCGGCTCAGCGGCCAATGCGAGAGTTGGTTGTCACGGTGGTCACAAACGATCCACTTGGTAATCGGGACTTTCGCATGAAAACGTGTGGAGATGTGAAGTAATCCCTTCTTCAAGCTTATGGCGATAAGCCACCCTCAACAAATTCAAGATAATTTGTTGAAACTTTGTGCAACTCGGGTACACACTGTGAATCGATCCTGCCGATCTGTACCCAACAACCTTGGGCTCACAAGGACATTCTGGCACCGCAAAGGCTTGGGCCAACCCCTTAGCTGCGACCAAGCAAGAACCCTGAGGGCACAAATTTCCAACCTGAGCCAGCATAACTACAGAGGGCGTGGCGGTCTAATCTGGGTCCGCTTGGCCCCGCACTCCGCTGGACTTCCCAATAGCTCGCGAAACTGGCGGCACTTGCGCACCTGTACAAAAAACGCCCAACGAGGGGACGTCTAGTCTGGTCCCGTTTGGGACAGCGCTCCTCTGGATTTCCCAGGAACTCATGAAGCATATGATGCGACTGAACTATTCACGGTCGTGCTTCTCATCACGTGCTTTACGTTGAAAAGCATAACGTCGCCGAAGTGCAACCTCCAACTGGTGCTCCTCGCGATGCTCTTGGTGCCGTGCCGACCGACCATCCTGGTCCACCTGATGCCGACGATGACCGAACAAATTGTCAGGAATACGCTCCTGCCGCTGATTGCCGCGCCTGTGCGCGTACGCGCCGGTTTGTCATCCAGGGCGAGGCGGTTCGATGTAGTTCGTGCGAGGCCGCGTTGCGCCTGCAGCAGCGTGGGGCGCGGTCCTCTTCCTGATCGGATCGATCGGGTGGCTTTCGTTCCTGTCCGCTTCCTCCTCGTCTCGGGGCGTCCTCTGATGATGCCGTGCGGAATCCAAAACAAACACAAAGGAAGCTACATGAGGCGAGGGAGAGGAACCGAAGCGACGCGAAGAGGACACGAGGGGGAGAGGACGGGGCGGGAGGAGGAGCAGGAAGAAATGAGCAACAGCGCTGTACTCGCAACGGGAAGCCCAGCACAGGCTGGTTGGAAATGAAGAGGCACGTGCAGGGTCAGGAGAGCATGGGTGTGAAGGAGTACGAAGGGAGGACGGGGGGTAAGACGCCGCCAACAGGTCACTGCGTCCATGGACCTGGAGGCCATACTCTGTTGCCCCCCCTGAAGTCTGCACAATGCCTGGTCCCCCTTTGCGCGTCGAAAGCATCTGCCCGCCAGCCGCATCGCCTTCGCGCGCCCTCCCCCCCCACCTAACTCCGCGCCTCTCCGCGCCATCGCCTCCTTCCTGAGCGCCTCCCAGATGGGGTCGGAGTAGATGGGGTCGGAGGATCGCGCCGCATCGCCGATACGTCGGCGATGCATCGGCAATGCATCGGTGATGCACCGGCGATGCATCGTCGACGTCGGCGATGCTTCGGCGACGTCGACGTGAAGAAAGATCGGGCCCCGCATCGGCGATGCATCGGCGATACGGCGCGTTCCTCCGACCCCATCTACTCCGAACCTATCTGGGAGGCCTAGAGTGGGAAGGGGAAGATTTCGCTACACCCTCGCGGGCGAAGAGAGGGGTCACGGGGCGAGCTGACGCTGCCGCCCTGGAAAGACGACGGCCTCCCACTGCGGACGCCTCCTGCTCGGTGGGAGCACGGGGCCGTTTGTTTTGTTGCCTGCTCTCTGCTGCTCCGCGGCGGCGCGCAAGAGACAAGCAACAACACACGCACTGCCACGCCCAGGCTGTTTGCCCCTCCTGCTCTTCCCCTCCACCCCCCCGCCGCCTTCAGCTCGCCGTTCTGAGCGGCGAACACCTTCGCCACGCTCTTCGTCGTCGGCGTTGTCGACGGCGTCGTCGTCGTCGTCGTCATGGTCGTCTCTGCGCCGCTTGCCTACCCAACACTGGAATTCTCTCTCAAATTGGGAGGGGGGGAATGATCAGATGAAATTCCAGGCCGTAGCGCAATGGCGGGAGCTCTCAGGAACGGCCTCAAAGCCACAGCTTCTCCTGATCCCCAAAATAATAGTGAATATCACTCCGGAGACCTGTCTGTAGGAACTCCCCCCCCGGCCACCAAGGCGAGGATCCCATGGGCGGGATCTGTGCGCGACCATCGGACACTCCCCCCCGCGGTATGAAGCCGGAGAACTCTACCCCTAATGCAGTTCAGGGCGGGGGGGGAAAGTTGTTCCCAAGGCAGCTGAGAGCGGGAACGTATGGGAGGGGCCCTGAATACGGCAACGAGGAAATCCGATTCCAAAATCAAATTATCTGTGGGGCCTTGGGGAAATCCAACTCACAGAGCCATTCTTGCAGCGCCAGTGGTGTATATATATATATATATATATATATATATATATATTCTTATATATATATATATATACACATTCGGCATGTACCTAACCCGACGCGTGACGTTGACATACACTATTCCTGTACCGCAGTATGTATACTACGCGTACTACCGACTGAATGCTATTACTGATGCGATGCGTTACCCACTGCCGAATGTCCACTAAATCCGTTGACATATTGCGTTATCCGTGTTACGTCTTACCCAATTTGTTCTCCTTGCTGTGTCAACTTCGATACAGGATGCGGTCGTCGGTTTCGAGATCGAGCCATGACTTGCGAAGTCCCTCTGTCCGAATTCGGTCCTGCCCCAACGAATTACGTTCCATGCAACGAGACATCTAAACACCTCTGACAATGTGGACGCCCGCAATGGGTATGGAGAACATGGATACGATGTCCAACAACAAGGGTGGTCCTCAACCGACAGAGCCCGCTGTTGGGCAGGTGGCTTTCTGCCTCAAATGGATAACGTCCGTGGCGACGCCGACGGCGAATCCGGTTCAAAATGGACAGGGCCTACTGTCGGTCTTCGTGCCCATTCCCTCTGTACCCATGTCGATCTTACCGAAACAACTTCTGTCAGAGCGGGGGTCACGCCTGGTCGTGCTCACTTCGAACCGTGCTCGTTCCTGACCGCGATCACGTTGGACCGTTCTCGGACCCCGGATTGCAAAAAGGGGCCCAGACAAGGATGACCTTTGAAGATGATCACAAACTGGACTTCTTCAAATCTGGCCTTCCGTGGATTAGTGCAAGACGCAGATGTGCGAGCTCAAGTGCGGACGCCGAGCAATGATCAGTGTTTGGGCCTTCTGCTGCAATTGCTTCAAGACCTTCTCCACAGCCCCGGGCACTGCCTTGGTGACGTCGTCAACGTCCTCCGCCATAACGCGGAACTAAAATGGATTGTCTACTGCCTGCCCCTGCCACACGCTCCGCGTGAATGTCCAGCCCCTTCTGTGCCCAATCCCATTTGCCCCCTTATACCTCTCTGCAAGACGACTCGATCGTTTTCCAACGTGATGCTTGACGGTGGTGGCGCTTTCCACTGATGTGGTTCGATCTCTAAACAAGGAATCAATTAATTATGATGAGTGTAGGGACTTGTGGTGGACGAATTGCTTCTCGTGAGGATGTCTTGCGCCATCTTCGCCAACATAAGCAACGTGCAAAAACGCCTGGCCTCAGGAGCCGGTCCACCCTTCTGCGCAAAACAAGCAACAGACCCACCCAATGTCCTCAGCACCCCCCCAGAGCAGGGACCGCGAGCTTTGGAGGACGCCAACTGTGCACCTACACCGATCCTGGCCAGGTCCATCCTGGGCCCACGATCCGTGTACATGCATTCCTCGCCAAGCCTGGAGGGCGCGTAGAGATCCATCCTGGGCCCAAGCTGGGCCTGGTCAAGATCGGTGTAGGTGTATAGCTGACGCCCGCCCGATAGCTGAGGCACGCGGCGCTGCCTCGTGGCTGCAGCCGCGAGCCTCAGCGAGCGCGTGCCGCTGAGGCGGAGCAGGGCGGCTGGCGGAACGACGATCGCCGCGCAGCCCTGGGGACGACGCCTCCCTCTGCTCGGGGGCGGGGAACGCCTCCACGTCCGCGGCCTCGCGGCCCTCAGCCGCGACCCCACGGACACAGAACGGCTCTGCGATGGGGCCCCAGCCTGAACGAATCCGGGGGAACCACGACATGCGGATACCGCCACTCCACGGGCCTCGCCAGGGATGCGTCCTGACCACGATCTCGAAGCAAACCCAGCCGTGGCGACGAGGGAGGGGTAGCGGCATCGGTGTCTGTTCCTCTGAGCATCCGCAAGGCATCGCGTACCCTTGGAATCGCGCCTCGTCAACCAGGCCGCGAAGGTGCGGATGTGCATATTTTCGTCGTCCGCGATTTGCGTGGTCGTTGTGCCTGCCCCTGGGGAACGCAGCCCTGCGCTCGGGAAACGGCGAAACCTCGTCGTCCCCACGCCTTGCGCGCTCCCCCCTCGGCCACCCTCTGTGACCTCTCCGCCGGCCCCGGGTCCCGGAGGAGGCGCGAATCCAGCGGGGGCACGGCGCTTCCCTAAGAACCGAGCGTTGTATTTCTTCGCGCTGGGCGTTTATTGCCCGGTTTCGCGCCCAGGGGGCCATCACAGAGCCAAGCGGCTCGAAGCACGCCCCAGAAAGATGGAATCTGCAGTGGAGGCCAGTCCACAAGAAACCTTCCACAAGAAACCCAACCCTGAGACCCCAGGACGTCCATTGCCTTTCGGTGTGGGAGCGTCGCGCTCTCCACAGCAGAACCATCGAAACCCAAGAAGCCCATGGCACCCTGGAGGCAAGCAGGGTGTTTCTTGGCATGGGCCTCCACTGTAGGGCGCCAGCCGTGGCAATTCCGCGGTGCTGCATCTCCCTGCGACGCCGGAGCTCAAGGGGCTCCATTGCCTCAGGAGCGAGAGGAGGGGGAGGAGGAGGAGGAGGAGGAGGAGGAGGAGGAGGAGGAGGAGGAGGAGGAGGAGGAGGAGGAGGAGGAGGAGGAGGAGGAGGAGGAGGAGGAGGAGGAGGAGGAGGAGGAGGAGGAGGAGGAGGAGGAGGAGGAGGAGGAGGAGGAGGAGGAGAGGAGGAGGAGGAGAGGGAGGAGGAGGAGGAGGAGGAGGAGGAGGAGGAGGAGGAGGAGGAGGAGGAGGAGGAGGAGGAGGAGGAGGAGGAGGAGGAGGAGGAGGAGGAGGAGGAGGAGGAGGAGGAGGAGGAGGAGGAGGAGGAGGAGGAGGAGGAGGAGGAGGAGGAGGAGGAGGAGGAGGAGGAGGAGGAGGAGGAGGAGGAGGAGGAGGAGGAGGAGGAGGAGGGAGGAGGAGGAGGAGGAGGAGGAGGAGGAGGAGGAGGAGGAGGAGGAGGAGGAGGAGGAGGAGGAGGAGGAGGAGAGAGGAGGAGGAGGAGGAGGAGGAGGAGGAGGGAGGAGGAGGGAGGAGGAGGAGGGCCCCCCCCTCTGCGCACGCGGTGAGCGTGCCGAACGGCCGCCCCGCGAGTCCTGGTCGTGGACCTGATCCGCCGATCCACCCTGGTGGCCCCGCAGCGTCTGCGGTGACCGCGTCTGCTCCCCCTCGTCCTTTTCTGGGTCTTGAGGGTGGGGAGCTTCCCGAGCTCTGTGGGCCGCACTGGAGGCTTCAGCTCCTCCTCCTCCTCCTCCTCCTCCTCCTCTCTCCTCCTCCTCCTCCTGCTCCTCCTCCTCCTCCTCCTGACACCACCTGGCTCGTTGCTTCAGATGAGACCCTGCCGCAGAAGGACCCCCCCCCCCAGACAATAACCCCAAACGCAAGCATGGGCGTGAACCTCAACGACGAGCGTCTGCTCCCTCGCTTCTCCAAACTCTGTCACCATGCCATGTTGGCACAACCGTGGGGAACCCCGATCACATGCATACTGAGCAAGACACTTACAACGAAGCATGCGCACATCAATACATACACCCGTTGCGGTGAATGGCTTCGACTTGTTAGGACAACCTTGGCTCATCCAAGGGGCTAATTCTTCGGGCAATGCAGACCCTGGCACGTTGGGGCGTCGAAGTGTGATGCCACGGGATGCCTGGTGTGGGCTGTGTATTTTCGTGTGCTGAGGCTCCCCTTCACAGCGCCCAGCTGCATGCCCCTCCCCCCCCCAACCCGCGGCTCTGTGGGAGGCCCGACGCCTCCCTGGCTCTCGCCCAGGCCCCCAAGATACTCACGACGACTTCCAGGACGGCCGAATACGGACTCCAAGATGCCCCCGAGGCGCCGAGTATGGCCAAAGGGGCACCAAGCGAGAGGATCCACGAGAAGGCCCAGCCAACCCAAATCACTGAGCAACCATTCCCCCTTCTCCTAAGATGGGGCTCATGTTCCCCATCTCATAAGATGGGCTTTTGTTATTACTAAGACCGCGCCGACTCCTCACCTCACCTCCCTCTTCCTCTTCTACCCCTACTCAGCCTCACTCGTCATACCCTGACTCACTCATGCTCAGGCTCACTCAGACTCAGGCACACTCACACTCAGACTTACCCATCACTCTGACTCGCTCGGACTCGGACTCACTCTTCCTCGCCCAGGCCCAGCCGCATCACTTCCCCACCCAGGTCCTCTCATGCTCAGAGGCGCCCACGCACACCGACTGTGAGGCTGTCGCAGGCGCGGCGCTGGTCTCAACACTCCCATTGGGGGGGAGAGGGGGGGGCGCCAGGAGGTATTGCACCGGCCTGGTCGCGCCCAGATGGCGGCGATCTCTCAAGCGGGTTCTGCCTGTTTCGGACCGTAACATCCTCTGCTTCCGGAGCAGACCTTGAAGATGTCTCGGGCGAGGCGCTGGCCCCAACACTCCGAAGGTGGGGGGGGACGCCGAGGGGGGTATTGCACGGGCCCCTGCGCGCCCAGATTGTGGGGGTGTCTCAGGCGGTTTGCCTGGTTCGGTCCGCAACGTCCTGTGATCGGAGCAGACTTATGTCTCAGGCGAGGCGCGGAGGAGGAGGAGGAGGAGGAGGAGGAGAAGACGAGGACGAGGAGGACGAGGAGGAGGAGGAGGAGGAGGAGGAGGAGGAGGAGGAGGAGGAGGAGGAGGAGGAGGAGGAGGCGCTGGTTTCAGCACTCCCACAGGGGGACGCCAGGGGATATTGCACGGGCCCGCTCGCGCCCAGATTGCGGGGACGTCTCAAGCGGTTTGCCTGTTCGGCCCGCAGCATGCCGTGCCGTCGAAGCAGTTTTTGAAGACACCTCAGGCGATGCGCCAGTTTCAGAACTCCCAGTAGGGAGCCGCCATGGGTGGGGACACCCTGGGATTCGCGCCCAGATGGTGGGGATGTCTAAAGCGGTTTGCTCGTTTGCATGCGCAAAGTTCTCTGCTTTCGGAGCAGATTTTGAAGATGTCTCAGGCGAGGCGCTGGTTTCAACACTCCCAAGGGGGAGCCGCCAGGGTGGGGACACTCCATGGTTCGCGCCCAGATGGTGGGGGACGTCTCGAGCGATCTGCCTGCTTGGTTGATTGGACTTGTGTGCTTCCAGAACGGGTTGTGACGATGTCTCGAGCGAGGCGCTGGTCTAAACACTCCCGGGCGGGATTCGCCAGGGCGGGGACAGTCCATGGCTCGCGCCCAGGTTGTGGGGGACGTCTCTGGCGGTTTGCCTATTCGGTCGATCGATCTAGTGTGCCGTCAAAGCAGATTGTGATGATGACTCAAGCGAAGCACTGGTTTCAGCACTCCTAACGGGGGACCCGCCACGGTGGGATCATACCCGGATCCGTGCTCAGATTCTGGGGGTGTCTCAGGCGGCTTGCATGTTTGGTTGCTTGGACTTGTGCGCTTTCAAAGCAGTTTGAGGTGATGTCCCAGGCGAGGCGCTGGTTTCAGCACTCCTCAGGGGGAGCCGCCAAAGTGGGGACACTCCACGATTCGTGCCCAGACGGAGGGATATCTCACGCGGCTTGCCTGTTTGGTTGATTGGACTTGCGTACGTGCGAGGCGCTGGGGGGAGGAGGAGGAAGAGGAGGAGGAGGAAGAGGAGGAGGAGGAGGAGGAGGAGGCGGAGGAGGAGGAGGAGGAGGAGGAGAACGGAGGACGGAGGCGGAGGAGGGAGGAGGACGGAACTGGAGGAGGGATGGGTTGGAGGATGTGCGACCAGGCAGATTGTGAGGACGTCTCGAGCGAGGCGCTCGTTTCAACACAACAACGTGGAGCCGCCAGGGGGGTATCCACACTTAGACGCTTTCGCCCCCCCCCGTCCCCTCCTCTTCCCTTCACACATTCAGTCTCGCTCATACTCAGACTCACTCATACTCAGACTCACCCACACCCAGATTCACATTTATAATCACTCATTGTCCAAATTACTGATGCTCAGACTCATCATTCTCCGACTCGCTTAAAC